GAGAAAACCAAAGAAAAATGATTTCGGCAGAACTTCTGGGGAGGGGGAGGCCAAAATTTTCCCGAAATCATAGTTTTTGTTGGTTGTTTTTGATTGGGGGGGGGGGTATCATGGTTTTTTGTTTGGGGATTGTCCAATGATTTTCTATGTTTTTCGCAAAGCCGATCATTGCCCGTAGGTTTTCGCAGGCTTTCTTTCGAGGAGGAGGAGGAGGAGGAGGAGGAGAGCGACGACGAGCAAACGATCAGTGAAGGTTTTGTAATGTTGGTGGCTTGGGGGTGGGGGGGCGACCATATATATATATATATATATATATACATACATACATACGTACATGCATACATACGTACACATATACACATACATATACATATACATATACATATACATATACATATGTATATGTATATGTATATATCGAGAAAATCCCCCGGCGAATCCAGGCAAATTGCGAGTAGTTATTTTGCGGGTAGTGGGATGCGCTTGACTATTTCTGGGTATCGCGGGCTGTCTTCGTGTCCGGGTGCGCCTGCACGGGCCGCCTCGGAAGCTCGGGGACCGGGCCAAGGAGATTTGACGAGGAATCGTGGCTTCGGGGGCACGGGTCCGTGTTGGTTACAACAGATCGCGCCTCGGGAGGAGGGGGGTGGGGGGGCACGCAGCATTCTGGAGCGAAGGGAGGGGGGTCCCTGTTGATTCGAAGGCAGAGACGCAGCAGAGCAGCACCTGGCGTTCTAACACGCCCCGCGTCGTGCAGGCACGGGCTGCGGATGGGAGCCCGCGTGGCCAGGAGGAGGAGAAGGAGGAGGACGAGGAGGACGAGGAGGAGGCGGAGGCGGAGGCGGAGGCGGAAGCGGAGGCGGACGAGGAGGAGGAGGAGAAGGAAGGAGGAGCAGGAGGAGGAGGAGGAGGAGGAGCGCGGAGGAGGAGGTGGAGGAGGAGGAGGAAGACGGGGATGAGCAGGAGGAGGAGGAGGTTGGCGGAAATTATAGCATGGCCGATATATGAATTTCGGGAAATTGGATTGCAGTGCCTTCTGCCGCTGGCCAATCCAGCGCCGAGTCCGCCCGCGACTACGTTGGGAAAGTCTGCGGGCCACCTTCTGGGTCATCTCGAAGCCTTTGGGAGCACATCTCCAGCAGGGGATCGACTGCAGAACTGAATTACCCCAAAAGTGGTTCCCCCGTCAAGCTGACACTGAACAGAACGTATAATCTGCATAGGTGTACGGTTCGTTTCACGACTTGATCATGGGTTCCGGCGAGGAAACCACTATTGGGTAAATAGAGTATGTAGCCGCTTCCCTTTTCGAACCGTCGGGCCGTCGGTGACAATGTCGGGGCCCCGAGGGCAGTCTCGAAGCGATCTTGGAACATCGTGGGGAACAACACTTGGGACATCAGCAAAGACAGCTGAAACATACTCCCGATTCCATAATCAAGTCGGGGGGGTCACCTTTGGGGGGGTGTCTGATTTGAGCTGTCTTGGAGGGTTCGGGGGGGTCTGGGCAAAGGGCCGCCCTTTCATGGATGGTCTGGGAGGGTCTAAAACTTCTCGTCTGGGAGGGTTGAGACCCCCTTTCTTTTATTACGAAATCTGGAGTAGTATATGTGTCTACGTTAAGTGTTCCTCGGGTGCGTGTCCGGGGCATATCAGAGGCATCTCGGGGCAAGATTCGGCCGTCCTGGGCGCTCGTGGCCCTCTTCGGGGCCTGTTGGGGCCATCCTGCAGGCCCCCATAGGCCTGTAAGTGGCCGGGGGGGTGCAAATGACCCCTATTTTTTGTTATCTTAAGAAGAAGAAGAAGAAGAAGAAAAACAAAACAACAACAACAAAAAGCTGGAAAAGTTAGAGGGAGGTCGAGGCCAACGTTTTTACAAAGCTCAAGTTCCAAGCTGCGAGAATCCTGAAGTCCGGAAGAAGTGTGGAGAAAGTTCGGCGGCGAAGAAGTTCAACATATTTGGAGGGCGTGTAAACTGTTCGTGAAATCCCGAGTTGGCTTCGAACTGTTCCGAGATTTGACACCTAGTTCGAACTTGTTGTTTGAAATGTTTTCGAATTGCTTCCAAGCTGTGCTAAAGCATGTGATATGTTGTTCGGTATCCCCCTGAACTTTCGAAATTGAGTCGAACTATTGCTTTTCTTGGTTTCCGAACTCGAACCTCTAACTTTCTCCCCGCCCGAACCCAAGCCCAGACTTTTAATTATTGGAATGGCCTCCGGCCAGAGCCGCCAATCCGGGGGGCTCCGGATTCGGTGATCTTCGCGGCATTGTGGACTCCTCCCTCCTCGATTCTTCTGGTCCTTTTTCTTCTCCTCTGGGGGGGTGCCTGGAGCGGTCCCGGGGGGGTTCGGGGAGGGTTCCGAGGGGAGGGTCCTGGGGGCGGTAGCGGCTAGATCTGAGGGGGTCCCCTGGGGCCCCCCGAAGCATTTTGGGGATGCTCAAGTCATTAAGAAAACGCCAGATGGGGGACCGCCCCCCCCTTCCCCTCTTCCCGGGGGGGGGGGGGTCCGGATGCGCAAATCATGTAGAAGACGCCAGATGGGGGACCGCCACCCCCCCCTCCCTCCCCCCCTTCCCCGGCAGAGCCACCCCGGCGCGACCCCCCCCAAGCAGAGCTGAAGCTCTTGCTTAGGCTCCGAGCTGAAGCTCTTGCTGAGGCTCCTTGTAGTTCACACGCCGGATCGACGGATTTCTTCCGCAGGAAAGCCCATCTCTCCCGTCATCAACCAAGTACAACCCTAAGCACACCAAGCCGTCTGGCGACGCCCCTTATGGGAATTCTGAGGCAACCTAGAGCAGCCAGCAGAGAATTGTTGCAATACGTTGGGCCCCACATGCTAGACAGTCGAGAGGAGACAGGACTGGGGAGGCAAGAGGCAAATTCAAAAGACAGCACACATAAAACAAGACAGCAGTCAAGCAGCAGGCCTCACAGCATTCCGCCCGCAAGGTGGCTAGCGGTTATGACTTCGTCCGGAGCCTCGTTTCCTCGAGCTCCTTTTTCTGGCATTCGGCGGGGGGAGCTGAGCGACTTCTGGCCATGCCCGCTCATAAGAAGGAGGAGTACAAGGTCAGCAAGGGAGGCGGACGAGAGGGCGGGGGCGGGAGGGAGGGGATGGCAAGGGGGAGGGGGAAGGGAGGGGGTGAACGAGGGCTGCTCAAGCGGGGGAATCGCACGCCAGGACAATCGCCTCTACGAGAAGATGCTGGGGCCTACCATGCAGTACACCTGCGCGTACTACAACAGGCTCCCAGGGGGGGCCGTACATCTCACTGGACGCAACCGTAAGGTCTGCCCCAACGTTGAGAGCTGAAACGCATGTTGTCCACAATTTTATGCGAGGGTAGCCATCAGAGGCTTCCGGAGGCTCCTAGGGAGGCCCAAGAAGCGCCAAAAGCCTTCCAAAGTTCGATCTTCCATGCCGAATTGGCGCACCGTCCCTCCCAAGTAAGCCCAGCGACTTTGTCGGAGATACGTCAGTGCAGGTGCGCTTGTGCGCTCGTTTTGCTGCAACACGCTGAGCACGACAACGTCGAAATATGGAAATGTAGCGGCGTGCCCAGAACTTAGGAGGAGGAGGAGGAGGACGGGGGGAAGGGGAGGAGGAGGAGGAGGAGTTGGAGGAGGAGGAGGAGGAGGAGGGGAGGAGGAGGGAGGAGGAGGACGGGGAAGGAGAGGGGGAGGGGGAGGGGGAATGAGGTATTACATGTCTCATGGGGGCCCAGGAGTTCTACGGTGCTCAAGGAGGAGGAGGGAAGAAAGAAGAGGGAGGAGAGGGAGGGACAAGGGAGGAGATAGGAGGAGCAGGTGTATGAAGAGGGAGGAGAGGGAGGCGGCGGTGGCGGAGGAGAAGGAGGAGGTCGTGGGTCCAGTGCCAGAGGCGCGCGCCACTCGGCAGGTTGCTCGAGTTCCCAGTCGAGCATGCGATGACTAATTCGTCTAGTACGTGCAGGAGGGGAGAAGGAGGGAGGGACGGAGGGATGTGGATGAGGATGAGTATGAAGATGAGGATGATGAGGAGCTGAGCTGCACCTCGCGTCGTGCAGCCGTGCAGGTCGAAAAAAGAGAGAAGGCACAGTGGCAGCAGGGCGTGGGAGAAGGAGTTGGGGACAAATGATGGGAATGGGGGAAGCAGGAGGAAAACACACGTCAGGGCGGCAACGGGCACCGACACGGGCATCTGTACGAGAATAATGAGACGTAGCACGAGGAAGTGGAGGAGGCAGAGGAGGTGGCCAGGGCGGAGGCGGACGAGTTGGAGGAGGAAGAAAAGCAGGATCAGCAGCAACAGATGGAGGCGAAGGTAGAGTGAGAGAAAGCAGAGAAATGGATGCAGAAGACGAGGAAGAGGAGAGTTGCCAAGGTGGGCAACGGCTACTTCTGATCATGGGGGTCATCGACGGGGGCTTGTGTTTCGAACCGCACGCCTCGCCTCTGTTTTCACCCACGTGGCAATGCTGCTGCAACTCCTCGTCCTCCTCCTCCTCCTCCTTCTCCTCCTCCTCCCCCTCCTCCTCCTCCTCCTCCTCGTCCTCCTCATGCTCCGCATGGCGTCTGCAGCCGCGACAAGCCTTTCCTGAGCATAATTAGTCAAAAGAGGTCGCACATTGGGGGGCGGAAGAACATAGTCAGGGTTGAGCAGGAGCGGGCGAGCAGGAAGAGCAGAAGGAAGAGGGAGAGGAGGATGAAGGAGGGGAGACTGGGCAGGAGTAGGAGCAGGTGGGAGCGACATTTAGCACGCACGCGAATAGTCTTATCTGTCTGTATGTATAACCAGCACCGAGGCTCGAACGCATATCGGACATCCGTTGAGATGTCCGTCAGATCGGCCAGAGCGCAGCTCGTGCAGCAACTTGATGACAGTGGTGACCAATGATGACTATTATTCCGAGGCTACTTGCGAGGAAGAGAAGGAGCAGGGGGCAAGAGGATGAGGAGAAGGGGAAGTCTGCTTTGTGAGAGCGTGGTCACGAAGTCTCCCTCCCGCAGGCCAGGAATGTCCCTGGACGAGGCCCAGAAGGCCAAGATGCGGCTGATCGCCGAGAAGTTGGATTTGAGACCGGGCATGAGGGTCCTCGAGTTTGGTTTCGGCTTCGGGGCCCAGGCTGGCTTGCCCTCTCCCACTCCACACTGGCAATGACAACAACTAGTAACGATGATAGCGGACATGATCGTCAGCAACAGCAGCACCGTAAGTTCCATCATCAAGTTCACCTTGATAGCCATCATCACCGTAGTCATGAAGGTCAGCAGCAGCACCAGAATCAACATGATCATATTCCAGCATCACTGCCCGTAAAATTCTGACCGCAATGATAAGTATGATGGTGATGGCCATGGTAAGGATCATAGTCATCAGCATAGCCGTATCCAGCTGCCTACGGCAAGTCCCGCCACCGTGGCTGGGTTGTGGGTGTGAAGCCTATTAGATGTTCATTGGGATCTCGTGGGAGGCCTCTCGGGGGCCTGCTGGAGGCAGGTTTGATGCCTCTTGGGGGCCTTTTGGGAGGCCTCTTGGAGCCTCGCTTGGGCCTCTTAGCGGGCCTCTTCGGGACCTCTTGGGGGCCTCTTGGGGGCCTCTTGGGGCCTCCTGGGCGTCTCTTGGGGCCTCCTGGGGACCTCTTGGGGCGAAAGGCTCAGAGTTTTGGTTCGTGCTCCCTCCCTTGGGCCCCTTTGGGGGCCGTCTTGGGGACATCTTGGGCCGTCTTGAGCGTCTCTGGGGTCGTCTTGGGGCGCTCTTAGGCCGTCTTGGGGCCCTCTTGGAGGCCTCTTGGGCCGTCTTGGGGTGGTGTTAAGGCGCCATGGCCGCCAAGGGCCACCCCAGGAGTAGGGGTGGTGCAGTCGCCTGTCTGCTGAACGAAGAGTGGCTGGTCCCTTAGAAGATTACAGAAGCCTGCCAGGCCGCCCTTGTCATTCATCACTCCTCAACGTGTTGCGGGCACGGTGGCGGACCAAGTCCTTGAGGATTTGGAGGTATCCTCAGGCGCGAGTAGCCCCGCAGGCCTGGACTCAGCGCGGCGTCCTCCACAGGAGGCCTGACGGCGTAAAACGCTCCCGAGGGACCGCCGCGCAAGTGCCGGCGGCGGTGCAGCCGGCAGGCGCGGCGGCGTTGGACTTGCATGCGATGCCTCAAGCAGCGCAGGGGACGATGGAGTTGACGGAGCGCATGCGCGTGGAGGACCAGGACGATTGGGGTTCTGATGCTGATCGTGAGCTGTCGGTGCCTCGTCTGGCTCGCCTCCACTGCCTGCACGGGACAGTTCACGAGGAGGAGGAGGAGGAGGAGGAGGAGGAGGAGGAGGAGGAGGAAGAGGAGGAGGAGGAGGAGGAGGAGGAGGAGGAGGAGGGGGAGGGGGAGGAGGAGGAGGAGGAGGAGGAGGAGGAGGAGGAGGAGGAGGAGGAGGAGGAGGAGGAGTCAGGCCCCCAGCACTTATTGCACCGTCTTTCACTGTCACGGTCTCGCGCAGTCGGGTGAGGGGCCACGCACACGCCGTCGGGCACGGTCGTTCTGAGGGGGGGAGTTTCGCAGCTCGTGCCGAACATTTTTGTTCCTCCGAGCTCTCTATCCGCCGGCCAATTTGGCATGGGGTTGGTAGCGGGACGGCTCGAAAGCAAGGTATATTGCGAAGGCGTTACGGCCAGCGCCGCCGACCCTGAAGAGGGGGGGCCCGAGGCGTTTGTGAAGCAGGGAATCGAGGGGTAAAGCTTCTCCCGAGGAGGGGTGCTTCCCCACAGGGGGAGTCACGACCCCCGGGAGGCCCCCCGACCGCCCCCCGGCGGGGAAGGGATCGAAGGAAAGGGGCTTCGCGTCGGCTCGATCACGACGTTGCTCGATTTCTATGTGGCTCGGGCATTTGACGAGGAGAGCCCACCGAAAGGGACAGGGGGAAGCGGTGACGGCGATAACGGCGACGACGACGACGACGACGACGACGACGAGGACGACGACGACGACGACGACGACGACGACGACGGCCGCGGCGGCGGCGGCGACGACGACGACGTCGACCCACACGACAACGACGACGACGACGACGACGACGAAAACGGGAAGGCTTCCCTCCTCACACGCCGACAGGGTTGGCGGATTTCTTCCTTCTTATAACTATTCTCCCCGTTATACCCCCCCTTTCACTCCGTCCCTGTCATCCTCTCCCTCCCCCTTATTCTTCTCCCTTTCCCCCTGCCCCCCCCTTCCCCCTGTCCCCCCTCCCTACTCCCTTCTCCCATCCCTTGCCTTTCCTCCCGCCTTGCACTCATTTCCGACATCCCTCCAGCACAGAGATGAATCGCCCCTTCGGCCCGCATGCCGTTTCGCTGTTGTCCCAAATGACGGGGCGAACTTGCGCGTTCGGCGAGGCCGGGGGGAGGGGAAGCCAGGGATCTTATCAATGCACTCAGGATTTCGTGATAAAGGGGGGGGGTCACATTTTGGGGGAGATCTGATTTGAGCTGTCTTGGAGGGTTCCAGTAGGGTCCGGGCAGAAGGCCGCCCTTTATGGCTGGTCTTGGGGGTGTCTAAAACTGCTAATCTGGGAGCGGTGTGTCCCCCTCCTATTTATTTCGAAATCTGGAGTACCAGTCTCCCAACCGATGGGAATGGGATTCTAAGATGATTTTTGCGGCTGGCCTGCACCCTGTTTGCGCTCGGCAGCCACGTGCCCAAGGAGGAGGAGGGGGTGGGGGCAGGGAGGAGCCCCATCCTGCTTCCAGCGAGGGACGAGGGTGCCAACGAGTCAACACGGCCCACCTGTCGGCACGAGATAGACGCGGGCACAGGAGGAGAGGAGGAGGAGGAGGAGTGAGGAAGAATAATAACAAGAAGAAGAAGAAGAAGAGAGAGTGAAGGAGAAGGCCATAAGCTGATATGCCTCTTCTTCCGAAGGTCGTGTGGGTGGTAGATTCTGCCCAAGACGTTTGGGCCATCGGTCGCTCCCGAGCCGGCGACCCCGCATCTGCCAGCCAGGCCGCTCCGATGTGCGAGAGTCAGGGGCGGCAGTCGGGGATCGCCACGAGACGGGTACCCTTGTCGCCGTCGCCCTTCTCTTGACTCCCTCTCCCTCCTCTGCTGCTGCACTTGTAGAGGCCAGGCAAGGAGGCAGGCCCGGCTCTGCGGATGCAGGGGGCCCATCCCCCGCCAGGCCTACTTCTTGGCCACCGAGTACGGGGTGCACGTCACCGGCGCCACGCTCTCAGAGAGGCGGGTGGGGACTTTCGGGCCTGGCGGCGAGGCGCTCGGGTCAGCGGGCGGCCCAGGATGGCGGCGAGGCGTGCTGGTTCGAGGGGAGCAAAGGTCCTGGTTAGATTTAGCAATGGACTACCAAGCGTTGTTTAGAATCGCGCTACGCGCAAGGACTTGCAGCACACTGTCGGTGAGACGGTCAGCCGGCACGAAGTGCCAGGACAGGAGCGTCGGGAGCAGCAGCAGGTGGCGTCGGCAGTTTCGTCGAGCAGCGTCGAGTGGAGGCTGCCACGCGGACTGCGGGGGGCAGAATTTCGTTGTCTGTGGTGGAAACACCGGGGGAGAGGGGGATCTGTGCAAGTAAGTATGTGAGGAGGAGGCGGAGGAGGACGACGAGGAGGAGGAGGAGGAGGCGAGTCTTCATCGAAAGGTGCTCAAGGACCATGGAGGAAGCGAGTAGCGGAGGGCTGCAGACAGGGAGGCATGCCAAGAGGGCCAGCAGAGTGGAGAAGGTCAGGATCGGAAGGTTGCGGAATCTTCTTCAAGACTCAGGTTCCTCGTTTTTTTTCTTTTCTCCTCCGCCCAATCCCCATGCAGCCTTTGCTTGGTATTCAGGAGGGGGGCAAGGGGAACGACGAGGCCAAATTGCATATTGCGGTCAGGAAGGGACAACGTTATGACCTACCAGAGAAGGAGGAGGAGGAGGAGGAGGAGGAGGAGGAGGAGAGGGAGGAGGAGAAGGAGGAGAAGAAGGAGGAGGAGGAGGACGACGAAGACGACGTTGACGTCGAGGTGATGTGGAAGGAGAGGAGGAAGACAGTGAGTATGAGGGAGAGGAGGGCGAGCTGGAGAAGAAGGAAGAGGAGGAAATGGAGAAGGAAGGAGGCCGGAGGAGGAGGATAAGGAAGAATTGGACATCGATGATCGGCCGAGGGACAACATTGTCAATCACGTGACCATTGAGGAGCGCTTTGAAGGTGCTCGGTGTTGTCTGATGAAGAATGACTTCCCCTACGTGGTCAGATCGCCTTCGAATGTATGCAGAGGTTTCCTGAGAGAGCATCTTAGACAGGCATGAGTCCTACGACAATCTGACCTCTTCCTCATCCTACTTCCTTGTCTCCCTCTGTCCCCCACTTTTCCCCCCCTCCTTGGGCCATCTGAAGCCTTCTTTGGGCCACATGGAGCCTTCCTGTGGCTTTCCAGGCCCTCCCCTGTTCCTCATCCTCTTCTTCGTCCTGCGCCTCCTCCGCGTCCTCCTCCTTTCCCTCATTCCTCCTCGTTCTCTTCTTTCCTTTTCATCCCTGCTCAGTATGAACATGTCCTCCCTGTCGCACCACCAGATATGTCGGTTGGGCGCACCAGGGGTTTCGCTTCAAATTCCGAACCGCCTAGGGTCCTGAAGCTTGAAAGTCTTTACAGCTACAAGGATGCAGGACAGGTCGTGTCCAAAACGTAACTCTCGCTGTAACACCGGCATTCGTGGCCGAAGTTCCGACAGTTACCTTGATCGAAGTGGGCGGTTTCAACATGTGGTTTCCGATTGAGCGCAGCGCATTCGATTTCATAACAAGTACAGGGGTGGAGAACGGTGCCTTCTCAAAGATGTGGCTCTCGTGTTCGATTCATGCTTTGAAAGTTCCAGATTTGCGCAATCGTGCTGCAGCAGCTACACGGGTGAAGGGAGATCCCACTTGGAAAGGGGTTATCATTTGAAATGTTCCCAGAAGTCATGACCAGAAGTGTAGAACTACGCGACAGCTGCATGAATGGAGGGTTGGTCGTTTCAAAGGTGTGTTCTTGCTGGACACGTTCCAGAAGCGTCTGGCCCTACGTCTTCGCAGCATGAAGTATATAGCTAGACACGTGCACGGCATTCACCTGAATGGCCGGCCAATGGGGTGCCTGCCTTTTTAAAGGGAAGGCTTACCTGGAAATGTTTACAGGGGTTCATCAGAAGGAGATTTGAGACAGGGCGGTCTGTTGTAGCATCGCTGATACATCACTCTGGTCGTCCTCCTCCTCCCCAGTCCTCCCTCAAAACGGACCCTCAGACATCCAGGGGTGCGTTCGGACCAAGACTTCAAAGGGCAATCCAGCTGTGGCGACGAGGAGCGTTCCTGCAGGTACAGACAAGGCGAAAATCCCAAAAACCTTGATCTGACCCCCTGGATTCGATTATCGTTCCTCCTCCTCCTCCTCCTCCTCCTCCTCCTCCTCCGCCTCCTCCTCCTCCATCTCCTCCTCCTCCTCCTCCTCCTCCTCCTTCTCCTCCTCCTTCTCCTCCTCTTCCTCCTCCTCACCCTCCTCCTCGTGCCCCTCGTCCTGCTCCCCCCTCCTCCTTCCCCTCCCCCTCCTCTGCCATCCTCCCTCCCCCTCCTCCCCACCTCGACTTCCTCCTCCCTCCTCCGCCCTGCCCCCCCCCATCCACCGCACCTCCTCCCTCCCCCTCCTCCCCGAGCGGGGGTGCGGGCCGGCGAGGCAGATGGAGTGGGCCGTGGAGCACAACTCGCACCCCCAGATCGAGTATCGGCTTCAGGACGCCCGCGCACCCACGGAGCAGCGGGGGCGCCTGCCGCCGACGCCGGTGCTGCTGCTCCTCGTCCCGCATCGCTCCGGTCAGATCTTCGGCACCGCCTGTTTTCTGAGCCCTCCGGCCGCCTGAGGCCCCGCCCGCCCGCGCCCTGTTTCCCAAAATTAGGGCTACCCGCGTCCCGTTTAGCTCTTGACCGGAAGGGGCCCGCTCCCGACCCGCAGACCAAAAAAGTATGGGAGCGGGCAGAACAAGGGGAACGCGCCGTCGGCCGCCCCGACAAGGCTAAGGGCGGCCGCGGCATACAGCCACTGGCCGCAGAGCACAGCGATCGCTCTTGCCTGATCCTCATTCCCTTTACTATTCTTTACCCCCCTTCGCGCCGCAGTTCTGCTCACCGAGCCTGGCCGTACTGCCAACCGCTTTTAAACCGACCCACAGCTGCTCATGGCAACCCCACCAGGTCTGCCTACTGTTCAGTTTCGCGCCCCGCCCGGTGCAACTGTGGGAGTGGGGGCGGGCTAACTTAGTTGACGGTGGGGGGCGGGGGGGGGGAGCCGCAAGCGCCACCGGGTGTCCTGGCGCAGGCCGCCAGCGCTGCCAACGCAATGCACTTGTCCTCTCGCGCCACCGAGGGCTTTCCTCGCGCCTTCCTTGCGTCGCCACTCCTACAGAACCTCAGTGTCGGTGGCCGCACCTCGTGTCACAGCTCACTCCTTGAGCTTCTCACTTTGGAGGCACGCTCCCTTCCAGGTTTTTTTTCACCCACCGCAGCCTGCCGCCGCACTTTCGCTCGACCAACAGATGGGGTGGGACGGTTACGCGTGTGGGAGAAGGGGGGAGGCACTGCAGCCTCCTGTGGCCGTCGCCACGGGACGGCGCAAACCTTTCCAAGCTTGGTGGAAATCCCAACCCGGCCCTCAGTCCCTCCTTGTGCCCCCCCCCTTCAGGGGCAAGCGCTCCTGGGGGGGGGGGGGGAGGGGCAACGTCCGCACGACCTGCATGCCATCATGAACGGATCGACTGGACAAGGGGCGGAGGAGGAAGAGGAGGAGGAGGAGGACAACGACGAAGATGGGACAGGAGAAGGAAGAGGAGGAGGAGGAGGAGGAGGACGCCGACGAGGAGGATGACGAGGAAAGGGAAGGAGGACGATGAAGAGGACGAGGAGGAAAAGGAGAGAAGGACGAGGACGAGGAGGGCACAGGAGAGGGAGGAGGAGAAGGAGAAGGGGGGCTGATCATCCCAACGATAGAGGATAGAGGAGAAGGAGGACGAGGAGGAACACGAGAAGGAGGAGGGCAAGCAGGAGGAGCGCGAGAATCATGGGCGGAAACGCCAGCAACAGCTGATTACAGAACGACAGAGGCACGGGCTAACTTGGGGAGAGCGCATGAGCCGCCGCTTGCACTCCTCACAGGACTACCGAACTGTCGAGGGTAAGTTCGACCGCATCTACTCGGTGGGTATGTTCGAGCATGTCGGACGGAACTCTTACGCTGCTTATTTCGACAAGTGCTACGAGTTGCTGGAGGACGACGGCATCATGCTGCTGCACACGATGGGTTGGGCGCGCCGGGGGCCATGGAACCACAACGCGTTCATCAACAAGTATATCTTCCCTGGCGGAGAGCTCCCTACCATGGCACATCTAACCCAAGAGTTCACTGACAAGTGGCACCTGGAGGACTGGCACAGCTTCGGCATGAGCTACGTCCAGACCCTCAGGGACTGGCAGGAGAAGCTCGATGGCTGGAAGGATATGGATGGGTTTGATGAGAGGTTTAGGAGAATGTGGGAGTATTACCTTGCTGCATGCGCAGCTTCTTTCAGAAGGAAACGCGTCAAGCTTTGGCAGCAAGTTTGGACAAAATTGAAGAGCAATCGGCCAGAAGATTGTTCGAATCACATCCGTGCTATTACCCCTTCAGTTTTGACGTGACAGGTGGTGCTGCCCCCGTCGTGCTCGATGAGTGCATCCGATGAATCGGGCTTCGCTCGCTGCGCAGTCGCATGGGCGCATAGCGCATCCCAGTAGAATGCAGATGTTTTCGTATTTCGGGAAGGCCCTTCTATTTGGCGGCTGTCCGGTTTTTTCAAATTAGCGATTCTGTGTGCATTGTTTCTTGCCAGTCTCGCAGGGTTCCACCAGGCAATGTTGTTCAGCCTTCAGACACCGCTCAAGAGGCCGACTGGCAGTCAGACAAAGGCATCATTATCATGTGCATCATGATCATAAAACGTTGTAGCCCCCCTGGGCTCATGTCCGCATGACCTTCAGTAGAATATTTTGTCTCTCTTCATTGCTGTTTGACTTGATCACTGTCACTCGCAATCCTGGTTCCCGTCATGCCATTGAATGTGATCAGCAAGGGGCACATGACCCGAATTATGTGTCGAGTGATCATCAGAAGCTCCGACGGATCACGTACGGTGAGTCTCATTTTCTTTTCGATTCCAGTATTTACCGAACGCTCTTTGCAAGTACATCATCACACCTGCTACTTTCTGCTGCATACCAGCGGTCGTCATGCACTTGGACACACTGGCTCGTTGCATCGGACAGTTCACGGTCAATCATATGCTTGATTTATTATTATGTTCCCTATTTTTCTTCGAATGGTTTTCGCAGCCGTGGACGTTGCTTGTACCAGGCATGGCCGTGTATTACTATGCAAGCGCGCAGATTGCCAGTGTGCACCCAAGCGTTAGTGAAGTTGTCACACGCAGACACAGAAGGTAATCAAGGGATGCAGCGAAGAACAGAGCCGTCAACATGCACGATGTGGCCCCACGACTACGCTCAGCAACCTGAGCAGAGTTGAGAAAGTAGCATTTTATACGACAGGTGTCTGTAGACGAGGTGCCTCGGGAGAGAGTCTTTATGGAACCAGGGGGTATGATGCCGCAGCGATCGTACGAAGCAATATTCAACATATTGTGTTCGTGTAGCCAGATTTTTAATCCGGGTACCTCATCAGACGGTCCGCACAGCGCTGCCCACACCATAGATAGGTGCAGTGATCAAATGGGCTTGACAACATCGGAGCAGCGGAGAAGAACTCGAAGTTCTCCTCACACACACACACACATGCGCCCTGGCGACGAGGGGTAATCGAGGATCGGAAATGAGGAGGAGGAGGAGGAGGAGGAGGAGGAGGAGAAGGGGAGTCGAGGATCGGAGATCGACGAGGATTAAGGATCATGGGTAGAGGATCGAGGCATTGCGACCTGGCGCGTCCTTCATGACGACGTCAGAGTGTGAAGAGGACCACGCACGAGGCGGCCGCACGTGAATGTCTTCCGAATCCGCTCTGCCTTCGGTCCGGAGCCCGCGGTCTTTTATCGCCACCTGTACTTCTCGGCGGCGAGCGAGGGGGGGGAAGTGAGAAGGAGAAGGCCTTCTCAGAAGGCGGTCGGACTTCTCAGAAGCCCTCGCGCCTTCTGAGAAATTTCCTGTGCCTCTGGGGCAGGCTTAGAGCCCTCCTCGGAAAGCTGGGGGATTCCCGAGCCTTCTGAGACCCACCTCTTCTCACTTCCCCCCCAGGCTCGCCACCGAATTTCGATACCCGCCGTTCCTGTTTTTCTGTCTTTTGTTGCCATGCATGCCGCTTGGGGGCTCGCCGTTGCGAACGCCTTGGCGGCAGCGAGCTACTGAAAGGAGCGCAAGTGTTCGTTTAAGCTCACGCTGGTGGTGCACAATTGTGAGACATTGGTAACAATATGTTACATCAGCCCGCATGGTTTGTCTGCGCACGGAGGGTTCCAGCATGGATTACAACGTGTTCTTATGGGCCATTGTCTCGTGCGCGCTTGCTCGTGTTCTAATGTGTGTTCTGTGCTTGCTGGTACTCGCAGCGTAAATGCGGCAACGGACAAGCCAGATACTACACGACACCGACGTCAGTTACAACCATTACCTTCGTAGCATGTATGACTGTGCTGGTTTCTTCCTCGGCTCCGTATATTTCGTACCAGATCGGGTAACGTCCCGTCCTATACCGTTACAGCTTCCGTTGTATGTGGGGTGTGCATCTAAAGTGGAATCAGACATTGTACGGTCATCACACTTCTCGTGCTAGCAAGTTTGTGATTTTGCGCCGCTTGCATATGCCCCACGCGTATTGATTTACATTCAAGCTCCCAGTGGACGCCATGAATCGTTGGAATCACCCTCACGCTTAATATGGACCCAACCGTGATATGCGAGCCAATGAACAAGTGAACGGCGCATCGTGTTGACAATCTCGAAACTCCTCCAAGCCTGGGAAAAAGCCCAGGGGGCACGTCTGTCACCGCCTTGGTTCGAGCGAGTTTTTGACTTCAAACGACCGTAGGATCAACATGGAGGAATTGGCCCAGCTAAGCGTTTGATTGGACGTTTGATTCTAGTGTCTTGCGTCTATACTTGCATACGAGTTCAGCAGCACCGATGCCAGTGAAAAAATACAGATGACAAAAAAATGTGATCAAGGCCTGAGAGCGAGAGCCTCGATTTCCTTCCCTCTTCGGGAGCCAATCGACTCTCAGGGCGCTCTTGGGCCGAGCTTGGGCGCTCTTGGGGCCATTAGGGGGGCCTCTTGGGCCCCTCTTGGGGCTCTTTTGGGCCATCCTGGAGCCATCTTGAAGCCTCAGAGGCCCATCGGAAGCGAAAAGGCGAGACGGCAAAGATCAGTAATGCTCTTTTTGTGTTTGAAGGATTTTTACTTCGTGGCGGGGTCCTCATGGTGCTCCGAGAGCACTTGGAACCCTCATGCAGCTCTCGTTGGGCCTCTTGAAGGTATGTCGGAAGCCATCTTCGGCTATCTTGAGCAATCTTGGGGACAATGTTGTAGCATCGGACGCCCTCCTGAAGCCATCCTGGGCGCCCTGACTGATCACGAAACCTCCCAAACAACCTCAGGGAGGGGAGGGGGGCAATACCCCTCCCCGAAGGGAAGGGGGTCTTGGAAGATGCAAGAACTCGTTCCACCACCTACGCCCAGAGGGCTGGTGGGATTAAGAGAGCACGATGGACGAAATGATGCGAAGCACACTGAAGGGGCTGGGGGTGAACGCCAGCGTGAAGAAGATTACCGAAGAGAGTGTGGAGGCGAAGCTTCGCCAAACCGTGCAGGAGCACAGAAAAAAAGTTCCCTAACAGTCTTTGCACCAAGGGGTTCTTGCTTCTCTCGCCAAGTTATTGGGTGAATGCCCCTGGCTTTCGCGCGGTGCCCACATGTGGGCGCTCAGTGCACCAGGTTCCCCGGCGTTTCCCCCCATGGGGCCCGCCCGTGGGCGCCTCGTGGGCGCGCCGTGCGCTGGCTGGGTTCGCCAGCTTTTCGCCTGGTGCCCGCCCGACCAGGTTGCCCCCCCGGTACCCATCCGCGAGCGCCTCGCCGGCGCGCCGTGCGCTAGCTGGGCTCGCCAGGTGATCGTTTGGTGCCCGCCCGTGGGCGCCACGAGGGCACCTCGTGTGTTCGCTGGGAACTCCGAGTTTTCGTTTGGTGCCCGCCCGTGGGCGGCTCGTGGGCGTGGCGTTGGCGCTTCGCTAGCGTTTCCGTGTGCACATAAGAATGTTGTGCCCCATATTTCCGAACCGTCTTGTGTGTTGGGGTCCTAGCATTGCATCCGCAGCGCCACGCGTCCCGCTTGTTCTTTCCTCTTGTTCCCCCTCCCTTTTCCTACCCCTGCGTCTGCCATCCGCACGTCCGTGCCAGCACACCCTTCAAGCGCTTCGTGATCCCGTAGGTTCTCCACCGAAGCAGGCCTTTTTGGCAGGGTCCACATGACACCGCCCCACAGATTTCGGCATACCCATCACAAGCTTCGCGGCCTCACAGAAAGCCCCACCTACGGCCCCAGTGGCAGCGGCCGCATGGCGGCGCCGCTTCCATGATGGCACACCCCATCACACGCTTCGTGGCCCCATGGAAAATGCATCGAAGGCCCCAGACACCGACTCAATTTCGGCACATCCCTCAGATATTTTGTGGCTGGCCGTCGGCGAGCTCCACTAGAGAACCAACTGGTAGCGCCCACAGCGGCGCCGCCTCCACCCGCATGGCAGCGCCACTTCATGGTCGGCACACCCTCACATGTGTCGTGGTCCCAAAGAGGCGCTCCACCAAAGGCTCAAATTGCAGCACACGCGTGGCTGCGTCATTGTTAGTTCGGCACACCAATCACGCGCGTCTTTGCCCCATACGGAACTCCACCAAAGGATTCACTGGCAGCGCCCGCATGGCGGCGCCACCTCCACAGCCCCGACGAACACACACACACACAAACAAACAAACAAACAAACAAACAAACACACACAAACACACACACACAAACAAGCAAACATACAAACACACACACAACACACACACACGCACGCACGCACGCACGCACGCACGCACACACGCACAGACACACACACACACACACACACACACACACGCACGCACGCACACACACACACACACATACACAGACACACACACACACACACACTTTGAGGTCGGCGGCGCAGAGGAACCTCAGGCGCGGTCGGCAGATGGAGGTGCCAATTGCAAACGAACTTAGGCGAACGCGTCGTGACGAAAGAGTCCAGCCACAGCGATGCAAGGTGGTGGTGGTGGTGGTAAAAAGATGAGGCATTGTAAAGCTAGAGTGCAGCGGCCAAGCATCCCGCGGAGCGTAGCTCGACGCCAGGAGTTGAAGCGCGGGCAGCAGCATGGTGCGAATTAGCCAGTTGAAAGATATGTGCTGCCAGACCAGCCAGCAAGGGGCGGCGCGAGACAGGCACAGGCGAGACAGGCACCGCCGCCAGGCAAGCAACGAACACGGCAGAACGCCGCTCACGTGCAAATAGCGCGAAGAAATCGTGCGCTCGAGGCATATAGCTAGATCAAGAAGCCAAGCTGACCGCTGGCGACACAGCCAACACTTCCCGCGGTGGCGCACACGGGTGGTGGA